TGCACTTGTAATTTTTTTAAAAGGAGTATGGCGTATGAGGTAGACAAGATATGAATCTTTCCATCACCAGTTAACCCACTGTTGTGGGGTTTTACCCTCACTCTTCTTCTGGGAAAAGACAAGATGAAATATCACCATACTACCCCAAAGAACAAGCAGTGCTCACACTGCAATTAACGACTCCCGTCATCTTGTCAACATCACTTCCAGCTCACAGCTTTCATGCAATTACCTACCCTCTTCCACTGTCGAATCCAGCTGGGTAACTTTGACAGCGAGGCGATCAATTCTGTCTTGAAGAGAATTTGCTCTGATGTAGAAGTTGTTAGCCTCATTAAACAACTCACCAAATATGTCTTCAGCATGTTTGCCTGGAGAAGAAAACAAGTGGAGAAAGCCATCTGCTGAGGAGATGCCGAGCATTCGCAAGCACCACCGGTGCTTATCACTGTCAGCACGCAGGGTTTTGTGCAAACGAGTACCAAAATAAAGTGTCACACAACGCAAGGCCTCCAGAATTTTCAAATTTATTAGAGATATTCATATAAATCTGTAATTGACCCAAACTTGTAGAATTTTAAAATATCCCAGATAGTATACAGAATCTTTACTGCTACATGAGCAGGCAAGTTGTTTCCCACTAAATGCAACTTAATTAGGAAAAAAAGTTCTCATTTTGCATGCTTTGAATATAAAGATAATTTCAGGAAGTAAGCTTTCCATTTATTCTCCAAGACAATTCAATAAATTATGTTGGCCTTTAAATTTAGGATTTTACCTTATTTTACATTACATTTCTTATATTGTATCTAACACTTGCCAATGACATCAAATTCTTCTAATTAATATTTTGAAATCTAGGTACATAGTGCTGACTCTGGCACTCTAAAATCAATATTCTGAATTCTAAGCTAAATTTTTCTGTATAGCTCACCTCTACATTCTTGTGAGTGTTAGATATAACTCTCGTTTTTCTTAAAATGTATTTAACATTTCTGAAAATTTAACAAGAAGATAGGAACGGCTATCTGCTTACTCTGAATTTCCAAATTCTAACACCACTCCTCTATTCATTAAACAAATATTTAACAATGGCCTATGCGGAGTGTGCATGGCACAGCGACACCCTAACTTCTCTGACAGAGATAACCACCACTTCTTTCTCTTGTCATCTTCCATTGATTGATTGCTCAAATAAGAGAAGAGGACCTGAACCCTCCAGGAAGAAAACTTCATTGGAGTAAGGAATAACACTAAGGTTTTCATAGTGCTTTACAGTGTATACGGACCCTCACAGCCACGTTCTTTGCTATAATCCATGAGACTGAACTCCATGTGAGTAGGAATTGCGTCTGTCCGTTCAACGTCATAGCCTCAGTCTTACAAGGCCTTCTGCATATACCTGCTCAATGAACAGATGAGTGAGCCCAGGAGGTAAACTAGGAGTTACTGTTTTCATTTTCCAGATGACTAAAGTGAGGATCAGAAAGGTGATCTGCCCAAATCCCATGGCCAGTAAGTGGCAGAAACAGATGAAACAAAAATTTGGTCTTCCTAGTTCTCTGCTTTCATCATATACCTCTTTGAACTGCCTTAGCTGGAAGTCAGCAACTTTCATGAATTATTTCAAGCCACAAGACACT